GCTTCACAGACATTTTTTGGTTAAATAAAATGTTTGCACCTGGCTATAAAACAAGTCGTGTTCCTGGGCTGAAGAAACTCCAAGGAGGCTAGTTGCTAGGGAGAGGAAGCCAGGCATTGCTACATGACGTCATTACCCCGCGCCCTCAGCGACCATTTCCGGGCTGGGCTGGGCCACAATTTGCACCATGGAGTCTTGGCAGTGTTGACTGCGATTTGGTGGGCTGTTGTTTCAAGGTGGTGGCGGGGCCTGTGTTCCAATTGGTGGAAGCCGAGTGTCGGTTTGTTGGTGCCAGGTCTGTTGTGGCCGTTTCTTTTTAAATGGCCAGTGCACATCACAGCAGCTCCTGCATTGAGTGTCTGCCCCCTGGTGATCAGTGCGTGTCATAGCTACTGGTTGGACGGATGGTCGGACAGACACTTAGGCTTTTATATATATAGATTTTACAAAGCCTTAAAAAATATGTTTTTACAAAAAGAGCATTTTCTCTCCTACATTCTCTTCTAGTATCAACTGATCCAATACATTTTTACCACTTGCCAAGGCAATTTCCTTGTTACCAAAATGCATAAATATATATCTTTCTTTCCTTGCTCCCCACACATATTAATTGTCTCCCTTTATTAAAGTATTATATCTACCACAAATTTACAAGAAAAATTTCACTGGTAGATGACACACTTATCTGACTATTTTGCCTATTTTCTGCTATGTTTTTGTTTTTCCTAATAGTTAAATATAATAATCATTTAGTTATAAACAACTGAGTTTCAATTTGTAATGTTTTTTGTTTTAAACAAATACTGTGTGATAATTAATTTTATGTTTCAACTTGGCTAGGCCATGGTACCTATATATTTGGTCAAACACCAGTCTGGATGTTGCCATGAAGGTATTTTTTTAGATGAACTTAACATTTAAATCAGTAGACTTTGAGTAAAGCAGATTGCCCTCAATATTGTAGGTGGGCCTTATCCAATCAGTTGAAGGCTATTAAGAGAAAAAGACTGAAGTCCCTGAGGAAGAGGGAATTCTACCTCCAGATTGCCTTCAGACAAGAACTACATCATCAGTTCTTTCCTGGGTTTCTAGTCTGCCAATCTACCCTGCAGATTTCAAACCTACCAGCCCCAAAAATGGTATGAGCCAATTCCTTAAAATAAATCTCTATATATACATTTATATAATCCTATTGGTTCTGTTTCTCTGGAGAATACTGTTTTAAAGTCTAGTAAAATTACAAAATTAAAAAAAAACATATAAATTACTAGATCTATATCTAGTATTATAGATGGTGGATATTAGATATAAAGCCACTAATCTAATCTGAAAGCATCAGAATTATAAAATGATTTAAATTATTAAATTATTGAATTATTAAAAGGCATTTGTACCTTATCTATGACAGTATGTCGCTTTTAGATCCAATTATCTCTTTAAAAGATATATTCTTAAACTGTTGAACTCAGAAAAATAGAGTATATTTAAGCTTTTTAAAACAAGTAACACTTAATGGCATTTATTTTTTAATTTTCTATTCCAAAAAAATAAGATCCTTCGATGGACATGTTGGCAACATATCAAGTCAGCTCCCTCAATGAGACTGAAGTCAACTGAAAAATAATTGGCATATCTCAACTGTGTAAATAAAGAATAGAAAGAAGAGAAATGTATTAATGCACTAAAATATAGGGCATGAAGTTGGATTCAGAAATGAATTAACCATGCTTCCTTTCTAATTCTGTTTTAAATCATAAAAGGCAACAAATAAACAAAAGCATCAACAAAACAAGACAGATGTGTCTTAAAATCTAAATACTGCCTTTGTACCACAATGAAATTTGTACTTGAATGCTTTCATTAAGGTCCATTGCTTAAGTTATTGTCTAGCAACTTGCAAATCTTATCCTCTCATCACAGTATTACTAGTTTATGACAGTTTGCACTTGTGCTTTAAAAGATTTGCTCATAAATATGCTATCGTTATGTCACTCCTTTGAGAAATGAACTAGTTGGTTCATCATTTTATGTATGAAATACTAGTCAAAAGGTATTTTAATCCTGCATCAATCAAACCCCTCTCAAGTAATAGAAACCTAATAGAAAGAGCTAGCTTTCAACGGAAATCAGCATATACCCAGAGTTACTTATTTATTAAAATAATGTAGAAGTCTTGCTTATAAACAATATCACATAAAAATTAATAAGGTGCTAAAATGACTATATTATTGGAATAGCTGGCTTTGACTTACATGTCATATTTCAGCAGTTTTAAGACTAAAAGGAATTATTATTTTGACACATTCGATGTCATTACAAAACAATTGGGAGTTTGCAGATGGAACATTATTGAGAAGCAATGAGCCTCAGCTGGGAAAAGAGCTGGATGCAGGGAAGACACAATAAATCATTATTCCAGTTAAACCAACTGGATTCATATTCAGAGTATAATAATTAGCACCTCATGGGATTTCAAACAAGTGTTTTGGCTAAATAGTCTGCCCGGGGTACTTTCATTCTAATACAGATGTAGTTTCTTGTTTTAATATATTTAATGCTTCATAGTATACTCTAGCCACAGGCATAGTCTCTGATGCAAATACCACCTTGATTTTGCACAGCTTATGCACATGCTGATCTACCAGGAAAGTATGATCTTAGAAAAGTTCACTTCCTTCAGTCCAGCACAGTATGGGTATGGGTGCACCACCCAATGGTGGCGAATTATAGAGGCCATCTACTCACATGGCCTTGGTCATCCAGTTCATTGTTGGTGAGCTTTAGCTTGTCGAAGCTGATCACTTGTCTCATCCAAGTCTCCCCTGAGGCAGGCGAGTCTGGATGAATATACACCCGGGGTGGCACAGGGGAGTCAGCGTTTCCAGCCACCATCCATTTAGAGCTGTGGTAAACATACCTAAAAGGCAATGACAAGGCATAGTATGTGAACTATGGTTCTTAGAATCTAACTCAGCAGAATTAGACAACATTTTAAGTCTAAAATACAATAATTTCTTCTTTACACCAAGGCATTTAAAGTAAGATTTCGACAACTTTAAAAAAAAACCCTGAGGCAGCAGTGGCCTACTGACCACTCAAGGTGGTGTATGAAGGGTTTAGTGAAAATATGCATACTGCCACCACCATAAATGCAAGTATCCTAATTCTTATGAATTACACTTATTCATGTTAGATATTGTTCAACTGATGTGAAAAACTATTAAGTTGTCAAGCTCACCTTTAAGTAAATTTCAAAAATACTTAAGAGTTATACCTAAAGGTGTCCTGCTTCTTTATCAATTCCCTTTTTTAGGCTTATGTACAAGTTGATAAGATAGATGGCAGAAAGGCAAAAAGAAATTGTCAGAAGTTTCAGTAACGTTTATTTTCATAGCAAAAAGTTCTATCTATTATCATTTAGAATTAGTTTTTCTAACTCTATCACACTACAAATTAAGGATAAAGTATTCCATTTAATTTTTAGTTTGAACAATCATAAAATATAGAATTTTCTCTCCTACATATTTCTTTTTTTACTATTGTAAGAAAATGCTGCAAATTATTATTAAATACCACTAATTAAAATATGCATCAAACTTTGAAAACTATGGGAGATCTAATTAATATTACTCTCCTAAGTAAGAGGTAAAACATCATAGTCTGTTTGTTTATATGTATCAAAATAGTGACTCTAAAAATAATATATCTAAATCCCAATGTTTCAAGTAATCCTACATTCAGATTATTATTTGTGCTAACTTAAAACACACTAATTCAAAAACTAGAAACTAGTATGTCAATGACTAACTTAGGAATAGAAAATAAATTACTGTGCATACTTTGTTGTTTTTCTTCCATTTGTGTTTTAAAATATAGCATACAATGTAAAGGAACAATTTACAAATAGTCTCAGAGAAATCTACCTGTGTTGTATGCAATTTTTTTTTTAAATAGCATGAAACACTTTCATAACATCTCTGGTGAGACCCTGTTTCAACTACGGTCGCATATTTCACTCTATTTTGAGCTCAATATGCCTTCTATTCTTGAATTCCTTTTCTTGGAAAAAAACACAGTCACACAATTAAGAACAATTAAAAATTCCTTTATTTGGTATAGTGTAATTTCAATAAATAAGTTCCTAAATACACAGGCTTTTGTTAATATTAATTTTACATTCTAATAAGTCACAATCATGTTTAACTTGATCAAATGCCACTCTCTGATAGCAGAGAATAAGCCAAAAAAATATTTTTTTCTATTAATACTGAAAAAGTTGGAAAATCAAATACAAATCTTGGAAATGCAAAAACAACAACAAACAAAAAAAATTAAAAACCTGCACTATGGATAAAGAGTTATTACCAAAATAAATAGAGTAACATTCTCTATCAAAACCTTGAAAAAGTATGCACATTGAGTAGTTCAAAAATCCACACCCACTAAGAGAAGAAATGTTACATGCTACATATTCTTTGTGCAACATTCTAAATACAAATGCTAAAAATAAATTTCTTGGGAAGCAATATAAGTGAAAGCAAATTTATGTTTTACAGTTTGATCATTTAAAATTTGGTATCTTAATACTAACACTTGAAATTGTGCTTGCATTTTATGTAAAAATAATAAGAATCAGTTATGTAAAACAAACTGTCCAAAATATATGGAAGAGATCTGAAGAAAGAAATATGAGACAAACTTAGTTGAGAAAGGAAATAATTTCTAAGCTTATTAAGAACTACATTATCTTCCTCAGTACAAAACCCACATAGAATATGAATTTTAAACCAAGGATATTTAAAAAATAAACTTCAATGCCTTCTAGCCTCTGTCATGCAGTAGATAATTTTATCAAAACTCCCTAATGAGGTAATTAAAATAAGCAATATAATGTATACACAAACAAAAATAATTAAACTGTCCCTTTTATTACCCATTTTTTAGTATTCCATATGTGCCTGTACTAATTAAATCTGTATACTTTGACACCATAAACCTGTTTCCAAAAAGCAACTCCTAAATTTTAAAAGATAAAAACCAAATCTGATTTCATTTAATAACTTACTGAATGCTCTAGGTATATATATAAAAGAAAAAAAAACAGAAACAAAAAACCCAAAATTTAGAGCAGTAATTTCTGGTCTCTCACTCAAAATCTCCTTTTTTTATGTTATCATTTTTAACAGAAAAATAAAAAGCATAATCATTAAAAATTATTGATTTGCTTAATTTCAGGAGAAAAAGAGCAAAGGTTGGTTTGATACTGAAGACTGTATATCTTTTCCAACTTTACTTGATGCCTGCATAAATATATTCTCTTTCAAAATCCAAATACTATAGTTTTTTTAACTACCAAGCAAAAAACAACACTAAGGTAATTAATTCATTACCAATTTAAAGATGTCTTAATTTCATAATGAATTATGAGATTTTATTTTTCTAAATTATAAAAAAATCTTCAATCATTTTCTCAAAAATGAAAAGCCTTCAAACGGGTACAATTTTGAACGTAATCAGATAAAGTGAACTTATTAAAAGATAAAAATCACAAAGAAAACAAAACATTTTATTAAATATTACATATATGTACAAATTTAACATTTCCTCTCAAACTTCTAACCAAAATGTGAATCAGTATAAAAAAACAACTTGGTTTAACATCGCTAAACTAGCTCCTATTAAAAGTCCTCAGTCCTTAAAAGACATTTCTGTATCTATAAAAAGCAAAACAAGAATTAAGTTTCCACATTTACTATAAAGGAAGGCATCCTCTGGGCTATTGGATCTGAAAGGTCCTGGATTGTGGTTCTGGGAATTCTACAGGCTCTTGGAAACAAACATCATAGTCACAAATCAAACAGACATAGCCTGTAAAATCTTAGCGTTTTCCTATTCTCCTCTAGCCATCCAATCACTATACCTGTATCTCTTGTTGTCCACTGGCACAATATCCATGGCAATGTAATATTGCTGGTGAGGATCTAATCCTGAGATCTTCACTCTCATTGCTGGAAACATGCGCCTATTTATAAGGGAGGGGAGGAAAAGGGGTTTTGGTTTGGGTTTTGCTTGTGATAACACATGGAGAATGAATAAGCAAAAGAAATCTCCAGAATCTGAATTTTTCACATGAACAAATGTATACCATTCGCTCTGGTAATTTGATTTAAAGAATCAGAACAGGGGACATAGCAAAACCGAGGCTTTTAAATGTAATTGGTTGCACCTTATACTTGCTTCTGTGTTTACTGAAATGTCAGTATAGCTAAGAGCAAAAATAATTGTACACATTGAAGGAGTCAAGGCACTAAAGAAAGCACTTTTAAAAAATCAATAAGCAAATTTACTTTAATAATACAGATAATAAAATGTCCCAAATGGTAGAAATAGAAATTTTGAATTTCTGAAAGTGATAAAACATATTATAATGTGAAATTTTAAAAGGGTTATAAAAAACCACAAGGAGCCAATGTGCCATGCTATAACCAAACAATATGTTCTTTATTGAGACAGGACTTCCTGTCTGCAGCACGGTAAAGGTGAAGTGCAAAAGTTGCTCCAAATTTGAAAGGTATAGTAAAACTTCTTTATTGAAAGCAGAAACTAAGCACAATGTATATTTACCAAATCGTTCCTTCCCCTACCATAACTTGAAAATACTTTCTCATTTAACCACACTTACTCAAAACATTGCTAATTAAGAAAAATGAAAATCTGAATTTCTCTTGGCTTCCCACAGATGCATCATAGGAGATGCTAAACTAAATGCACCTATCTTTTAAAAATGGCATAGTAGCAAGGCATACAACAGCAAATTATTGTATATAAAAAAACAGAGCAGTTCTTTCTTTTTTAAAAAAAAATTCATCTAATGATGTATGTCTAGGATCCTTCCAGCTAATCTAATTTTTGCCAATTTACCTTATAACACGAATTTTAGTACTGTTATCTACCAATTTTTTTCCTATAACAATGCCATTAAAGACCACTTGCACAAAAAAGAAAGTCCATTATTCCTAACTAGGCATGAGAGCAGTTTAATACGCTGGTTGTTTTAGTGTTATTTCAGTGCACCTGTAAGATAAAGAGTAAAGGTCTTTAACTACATCCTTTATAAGACAACTGTTGCTTTGTGTTGTTGAAAACTGAATTTGGATCATTACTAATAGCTCTGTGAAAATGTAGAAGGTAGCATATGGATTCAATAAAATATGTTTTTGTAATTTCTAATAAGTTTGGATACTTTTATGCTATCCAGGTTTTTGCCATGTGTACGCCCTGAAAGAGTGGTGTGTGCTTTTTACCTTCCTTTTAAGGAAGATATTATTCATAGATTTCACTGCACTAAATGAACTGAAAACTTTAAAATGCAAATATTTCGGTGCCTCCTTCAAATTACTATGATCTGGCCCAAAAATCCATTTATTTTACAGAGGAATGTGCAAATTTCACTTTCCACAAAAAACGGATATAACTTCTTACAAAATTTTTTAGAGTTCTTCAGCAAATTTAGACTAACGTGTTGGATTTCATTGAGGAAAAAATGTTAGCTGCGTAACTGCGGGTCTACAAAAGTGGTTTTTAAAAAATCAAGGTAACCATTTTTCAAGGATTAAGCATGCATTACCAGAGATTCCAGTAATTTTTCATCCTAGTCTAATATCAAAATAGCACAACACACCACGTTCTCACATTGCAAGGAAATCTTTTGGTAAAGAACCAAAATGGGTAAATTTCACATCTGAAAAGGCAAATTAGATTGCTAAAGAGTAAACTGCGTTGGTTAAAAGGCTAGGGGAGTAATCTGTTCCACAGTCCCAGAAGCGATAACTAGAGCCTAAGTCAATGTCTGGACAGATGTAAATATGATCACGAATCTGTAACTACCCTGCACGCAGCGTATCAATAGAACCGCTAGCATGTTGGCGGCGGCCCTGATTTCCTCCTGAGCATCCAGCAAGAGGGCGGCCGGACTATGCCCTTCACTGACTGCGTAGGTAGGGAAAGCCAGTCTCAGAAGTGATCCACTACCCAGGGCCTTGTCCTTCTCTATACGGAAATGCTTCCTGGAGACCAACCTCCTCCCCCCTGCCTAACCCACCCAGGGGGTGCGGTGAGGGGCCACGCGCGACAGCTCGCCCTTTACCTGCCCGCCTTGGTGATGATCATCTCTGTGCCGATCTCGTGAAAGCGCTTCCAGAGCTCAGCTCCCTGCAGATCCACCCGCGGGGCCTGCGGTGATGGCAGCGGGGTCCCAGGCCTGGCCAGGGCCGGAGCCGGGGAGCCCTTTCGAGAGCCTCCCGGGGATGCCAGTGGGGACGAGCCCTGCAGGAAGCCGTCCTCACAGCCTCCTGGGCAGCAAAGAGTAGAGAGGGGTAACCGGTGAGGGCCCGAGAGAGGAATCTTGATGGGGAGATGGACCTCGGGAGGGAGGCTGGGGAGAGGTAAAGGACCAGGAGAAAAGGGGAAACCTTCCCGTCATCGGGTCCTTCTAACAAACAGGTCCACCGTTAAACATCCGCACTGCCCGCCAAAGGGACGCTTGACCTCCAAGTCCCCGAGAGGCGTGCAGGCCGAGTCCACCCCACCTCCGCCCCGCCAAGGCCCCAAAATAAGTTTCGCGCGGCCACCGGGGTCTGGGATGTGTGCCCAGTGGAGCCTGAGATGGACTCCGGAGTTCAGATCCCCAGTGCAAACCCCGACACACCCCGCGCCCCTCGCGCGCTCCCCGCAAAAGCGCCTAGTGCCGGGACCCTGGAGGTAAGCGCCAGGGCCTTGCTTTGCAATGGGCGTCCGTAGCGCCTGGCTTCGGGCTGGGGCTGAGGCATCCTCTAGAAACATTTCGAAATATTTCTTGCTCCGCTCTTGCCAAATTCCCCGGTCGCCCTGAGCTTTTCAGCCAAACAGCTAGCTAAGGACAGGAGAAGAGCGCGGAAAACAAGCCCACGGTCGTTGTCGTCCTTGCCAGCGGGAATCTAGATTGTAAGGGACGGGAAAGGTTCAGCTACCCCTCGGGAAACCACGTTTGCACATACGCAGCCCTCTTCCTGGTTTGCCCAAATGTTTAGGGCATTCGTTCCGGTTTGGGGGGATTATACCGTCGCTCCCTCCACCTCCGAGCTTTTAAAAGCTAGGAAAGAAAACAAGAGCACCCATGGGCTGGAACCTCAAGTGAGGCAGATGCCCAAAGCGCAGGTCTGCACGGCGGAGCGCCGCAAACAGCAGCCGCAGAGGGCGCGGACCGCCTAGCGGGCGGCGGCAGCCA